GGAATTGTCAATGATTTCATCTTACATGCATCCACAAGCAACACCCTTGGTACCAGCAGGCAAGAGGATGGATAGTAATGGGAAAGTCTGCTGTCAGAGACCTAAACAAAGTCTTGAAAAGCAATGATAGCCATTTAAAGACTCAAGTGTGCCTGATGCAAGCCATGGCTTTTCCCATCACCTAATATGCATTAGAGAACTGGACAATGAGTAAGGATGACAGAAAAAGAATCAATGCCTTTGAGCTGTGGTGTTGGAAATGAGTACCAAACATTCCATGGATCCAAACAAAACAAACAGCCATAATGTTCCTTGGGGGCAAGGATGATTTGGGCATGTTGCTAGGAGAGGGTATTTCTTGGAGAGGAACATCATGCTTGGAAAGGTGAAAGGTCGGCGAAGGAAGGGAAGACCCTTGGTGAGACAGACTGACACAGTGACTGCAGTAATGGGCTCAGGTGTGTCGGGGAATAGTGAGGACAGCACAGGGTTCAGATCTGTTGTTCACAGGATTGCTATGAGTTGTAGTCAACTCAGTGGCACCTAACAACAACAACAGTGAATAATTCTTGACTTTATTATATAAGGGAGGTTGTTTGTGTAAGGATGTAAAATAGGTGGTTCTCCAACCCTTAGTGAAGTCTTTAATTGGCTGCTGCTGGATTCTTGCAGGCTGCACCTCCATCAATGTTTTCCTTTCCTAATGAACGGAAATGCTTATCTTTTACTCTGGCTCTGGCTCGGTTTTTTTGGTCTTTCTGCAAACACAAACCCTGAGGGACTTTCTCTCTATGGAACAAACTCCAGCAAGAGCTATATTAAGTCAGTCACCACATCGTGAGGAAGAAGAAGAATCCTAGCAGCCTCATAAGGTTGCTGTGAGAATCAAAAGACTTTTATGCACAAATATGTGAGCCCTTCTGTGAACGGCCTCGGTACCTGAAGGTCCTTGCTGGCCCTGGAATGGCGGCTCACTCTCTTCAGCTCTCTAGGGAACATATAAATATATGGTTTGATAAAAAGAGGAAGATTTAAATGGTGCATCTTAAGAGAGACTCCAGAATGATGAGGTTTCACGGTCCCTGACTCGTGTAGTCAGTCATTCACTGGCATCACTCTAGGGTGAACGTGGCACCCAAAAGGCCTCCTAAGGCTAACTGGAATTTTAGAATCCAGAACTGGGACTCTTTCCCACTTCCCATTCCCACTCCTGCTTAAGCCACAAAGTTCATCTCCAGGCAAGCACCATACCAGCCATAGGACTGGATCCTCACTTAGGGCAGGGCACTAGTATGAGGCACAAGTAAGGTGTTTCAGGCACAAGTAATGTGTTCCAGGAAAGGATGAGGCCCGTTTAACACGCACACACAACTGGCAGGATCACAGCAGTCTCTGCCACAAGTTTCAAGCTTCAGGCCCAGAAGATGGAGGATGACACACTCTGCTCTTCTTGAGCCATCTTTCTAGCAGTCTTGAAGCACCTCTGAACACTTGCTCACTCCAAACCTTGGGCCACCTTCACAGAAGCATGTCTATGGAGAGTCATGCCTGTGGCAAGCACAGAAATTATACCCCTGTACAAACATCTGACACCCATCTTTTAGATAACTTTATTATAATGTTGTTATGTTCCATCAAGTCAGAATCAAGTAAATCACACTGGAGGAGATTTCCCATCTTTCTGCTGCAGAGCAGTTAGTGGATTCAAACCATGTGCCTTTGTGTTAACAGTGCAGCTCCTTACCACTAGGCTATCATATCAGCTCAAAAATATAAGCTTGTTAAGCTTTTACTGAATACATTGTTGTTGGTGTGTACCATCAAGTCAGAACCAACTCATAGCTGAAGCTTTCAGTGGGTTTTCAGAAGCAGTTAACTGAATGGGAGGAGATTGCCTATCCTTCTCCTGAGGAAAGGATTCAAACTGCATGGCTTTGAACACATATGGCAGTTGTTGTTGTGTTGTTGTTATGTGCCGTCAAGTCACCTGTGACTAAAAGTGACCCTATGTACAACAGTCCTAAATCCTGCTCTATCCTGTGCCAATCTCGTTGTCTCTAACACACCTACTCCCATTACCCTAGTCACTGAATCAATCCACCTCATTTAGGGTCTTCCTCTCCTGCATTGTCGCTCCACCCTGTAAGCGTGACATTCATCTCCAAGGACTGGTTCCTCTTTGCAACATGTCTAAAGTATGTCAGACAAAGCTTCAGAATCCTTGCCTCCAAGGAACAGCCTGGCTTCACCCTCTCCAGGACAAATCTGTTTGTTTTCCTAGCAGTCCATGGTATATTTAATACTCTTCTCCAACACCACAGCTCAAAGGCATCAATTCTCCTTCTATCCTCCCTAGTCATTGTCCAGCTCTCTGATGCATAGCAAGTGATTGCAAAGACCATGGCCTGTATCAGGTACACCTTAGTCTCCAGACTGACACCATTGTTCTTCAGTACTTTGGAGAGGCCTCTGACAGCAGACATTCCCAGTGCAATATGTCTTTTAATATCCTGGCTGCTGGTGTCAAGAGTGTTGATTGTGAAGGCAAGCAAACTAAAGCTGTTTACAATCTCAATCTCTTCACTATCCATCACAATGCTGCCATTCGGTCCTGTGGTGAGAATCTTTGTCTTCTTGACATTGAGCCTCAATCTATATTGAAGGCTGCAGTCCTTGACCCTCTGCAGCAAGAGCTTCAGGTCCTCCTTAGTTTCAGCAAGCAAGGTTGTGTCATTTGCATAACACAGGTTGTTGATGGGTCTTCTACCAATCCTGATGCCACATTTCTCCTCATAGAGCCCAGCCTCCCAGATAATCAATCTGTTCTGCATATAGACTGAAAAGATATGGAGATAGGACACATCCTGGCATATACCTTTCCCAGTTTTGAACCATGTGGTGTTCTGACTACTGCTCCTGGTCCAAATATACATTTCACATAAGCAGGATCAAGTGTTTCAGGATTCTCATTCTTCTTAGAGTTAGCCACATAAAAATTATACATTTTCCAAGCTTTCCCTCTCTCATCTTTGGCACTCTTCTCCAACATCACAGCTCAAAGGCATCTTACAAATGGTTTGATGGATGGGGCATAGTTGGCATTGGAGAAGACCACTGAACATCCAAAGGATAGACAATAGAGCAAACAAATATGCCTTAGAAAGGGTGCAATCAGAGTGCTCTTTGGAGGCAAAGATGATAAAGCTTCATCTCACATACTTGGGGCATGTTGCTTGGAGGGGTGGTCCCTTGGGAAGGGAGATGATGATTAGAAAGGTGGCGGGTCAATGAAGGAGAGAAAGACCCTCAGCCAGGTGGATTGACCTGGTGACTGCCACAACAGACTCTACTGTGTCAGGAAGTGTGAGGATGGCATTGGATAGGAAAGGGTACAGATCTGTTATTGAGTCATACTCAGCTAGACGACACCTAACAACAACTAAAAGCATTTGCTGATGAAAAATGGTCTGTTGGGTGCTCAAGTTATTTTTGTTTGTTTTCTTCCTCTTTTTCTCTACTCAGCTGAGCAAGAGCACAGTCTGCCTTCACCCACGGAGGTTCTCGTTACGACAGTAGTAGGAGCTCTGGAGGCATAGTCCATAGTAGGTTGTGCTGTTAACCCAAAAGTTACACACTCTACAGCAGTTCGAAACCACTGACAGCCCTGAAACAGAAAGATGGGCAGTCTCCTCCCATAAACCTTTACAGCCTCAGAAACCTAATGGAGGGTCGCTGGGAGTCAGAACTGACTTTGAGTGAGTAGTGGGGTTGAGTTCTAAGTTACTGAGGGATCTCTCATAGCTGTTAATAGAAACTGCTCAGTGGCACCCCCCCCACAAATGGCATCCAGGATGTACATGCTTGAAACACAATATATATGAATGATAAAAATATTAACTTTAAAAAATGACACGCAGGGAGCCTGCCATATCTTCGACATGCCTTTGCATCTGCACTGCTGGTGACTAATGGTTCAGGTGTGGTTATCTGTAACCAGGAGGGAGAGGAGAAAAGGGGAATGCCAAGGTGAGTCAATGAGGTCCCTGCTACCCCCACTTTTGCTGCCCTTTATGACCAGTAACACCCCCAGCCCACCCCATAAGCACAACTAGGGCTCAGTGAACACTGAAGAGAGGATCATAGGCATTCAGGCAGAGACACACTCGAACCATAGACCCAGGGCCCTCAGCACAGCACACAGACCCATCATCAACAAGTATCACCAGCTTATGCAGATAGAAGACCTGGTTTCCAGACCAGATCCTTTCTCTACTAGCTGAAGGCCTTCAGACAAATCATGTAACCCAAGTCTCAGTACTCTCTTCTAAAAAATGAGTGGTCAGGGAGGTCTGATGGCCTAGTGGCAAGAAGCTGCACGGAAATCCCAGAGGTGCGTGGTTCGAATCCACCAGATCCTGTGCTGGAGAAGGAGGGACAATCTCCTTCTGTACCAGTCAGAACTGATTTGATGGTACATACACCAAAAAATAATAAAAATAAAATAAAATTTAAAAATGAATGGTCATTGCAAGAATGAATGCATGACTGGAAACCCTAAGTCTCTGTAAACTGTCATTAAATTTTTTTAAAAAAGGAATGGTCGTAGGGAGCTCTGGCGGCCTAGTGGTAAAAAGCTACACTGCAATCCCAGAGGCACATGGTTTGAATCCACCAGATACTCTGCTAGAGAAGGAGGGGCAATCTCCTCCTGTGCCAGTCAGATCCAATTTGATGGTACACACACACAAAATAAAACTTTAAAAAATTAATTTAAAAAATGAATGGTCGTGACGGATAGTGTATAGTTGGCACGGGAGCCCTTGGGATGATGAGAGTAAAGCATTTGCAAGATGCAAAGTATGAAGCACAAATTTCATAAGCCAAACACTCATTGATCCAGTATACACCTGGCATTTACCTTTTCCTGCTTCCAGGTTCCTAAATCAATACTTTGTCAAATCCTCACAGTTCATGGCTATAAGTAAGACTCACAAATCAATACACTGCATACTGTATAAATATAGGTTTTATTAATAATGGGTGAAATCCCACAAATACAACTGGCATCTCTGTGTAAGGGAAGAATCCGTGGCAGGGTGAGGGGAGGTGAGGGTATGTGAATAGGAACAAAGGGAGAAAGTGCTGTGGGGAAGGGGAGATGGGAAGTAGAATGAGCCTGAACCCCACCAGGGAAGACAGATAGGCTCTAAGTGTGTCTGCCACCCTGCCACCTAGGGCTTGTCCCTGTGATGCCCTGGGGCCACCGTGGCTGAGGGGGTGAGGCAGCATGGAGGGGGCTTTGAATGAGCAGCAGAGAGGCTGGGGAAGGAGAGGGTGAGAATGCCAGCCTGACATGCCAGAGGGCCACAGGGTGGCGGTGGCCTAGGCTAGCTTCTGCCCAGGCCTGTGCTTGTGTGGGTCCTAAACTCCAGGGAGTTAGTGCCCTGTGCCATCCCTGGCTTGGGAGGGAGGGAAGACTGGGGAGTAGACACCTGCAGATCCTTGAGACACCTTGAACAGCACCAGCTTTATCCTTAGACGTCTCCAAAGTGGGCCCCACCAGAAAGATCGTGGCACTGCCTTCAACTGGCACGCCCACCACCTTGCACCACCACTCCTTTGAGCTGCAGGGGATGGTGATTGTATGTATGGCTGGGATTGCCTGTTCGCAAATATGTGCCTGTAACTCTGCAGATTGAGGGAGCATTTTGAGACAATACTTTAGAAGCAACGAGAAAGGAGGCCTGGGTCTCCCCCACCTCCTCCTGTCAGAATAAAGTGCATTCACTAGTTCCAGTGGCAGGTGGGAAAGAATACAGACGTTATTGCAGAAGTGCCACTAGGCCCTACCTCCTACTGAAGGTGAGGAGGAGCTACAGGGGCCTCTTGTGGCCCCAGGCCTGCCTGAACCTCAGAACTGGGAGGGGGAACCAAGACAGAAAACCCAGCTTCTGTCCCAGTAGATTGTCCAAATAAGCCAAGGTCTGGGGATGGGAACCAGGTGGAAGCAGGAAGACACGTCCAGAGTGCTTCTCTGCTCCATTCCAATGTCTATATGGAACATCCAGGAGACCTCATACCAGGGCCCAGCCCTGGAACACCAACCTTGTAGCAGCTCAGTTTACAAACACTTGTGTGGTGGGGTCCCCCAGAGGGGACCACTTTGGTCAGTTGTAAGTTAGGTGTGGAAAGCCTGGTGCTCCTGGTCAGACAACAGAGGAGGGTGCCAAGGGACAGAAAGAATGGGCAGCCTCCTAGTGGTCTCAGCATGCAGGTGCTGGAGAGAAGAGGGAGGAAGCTACAGACTGCATCAACCCTGGGTGTGGCAAGGAAGGCTGGCGCCCTCACCCCCAAGGCCAAGGCTGGGAGTGCTGTCCACTGGCCAGTCTGGAGAGGAGCCGAGGGAGGGGAGGGTGGCTGCTCCAGCAACCAGTGCCCAAGTCTACATGGTTAAAACAGTCCCAAAGGGCTGGGACTGGAGGCTTCCTGCTGCGGGGACTGGGGCGCAGGTCAGGCGCAAGGCTCTATCTCTCTGACTTGACCCGGTAACGGAGCACGAGGTATGCCAGCAGCCGGAGTGCCAGGAAGAAAATGCCCAAGACCACAAAGTCCATATAGAGCTTGGCATCCTCCACATCTAGCGCTCGGAGGATGCTCTGTGGCTCCCGGAAGGGGCAGCGCTCCTCTGAGCATGTCAGGTGTCCTCGCTCCATGCCATATATCGTCAGGATCACACCCTCAAAGCCATACCTAGGTAAGCAGGGGTGTCAGGGCAAGGTACAGGGACCTCTCTTTCCAGAGCCATTTGCCAGGGTTCAGCTGCAATGTTCTTATTCTTGGGTGCTAATCAGGTTGCCCTGACCAGAGTATATGAGGACAAGTATCAGATTTGGCACAGCCCAGGAAGATCAGGCCATGGCCTCCCACAGGGAGGAGCAGGGGCAGATAAGGAGGAGGGACACTAACCTGACATAGGAGAGGTAGGAGCTCCACTGCAGGTATGTGGGGATGGTCTTGAAGGTGACAAAGAAGCCAGAGAAGAGGAGGACAGGGATGGCGGTAACTGGACCTACAAAGGTGGCCACCTGAGGGGAGTAGAGGGAGGCCTGGCTGTCTCAGGGGTGGCCAGGACAGACTCAAGACTGGGGTGATCCAAGGGCTTCCCACAGGTCCATCCCTCCCTTCATGGCCAGTTTCTGCTTCCTGTTATGATACACCCCCCCATCCTCTCTCAGGCCCCTTCCACCTGCAAGGAATTGGAGGCAGCTCCTATAAGCAGCCCTAGAGACTGGGCCACCAAGGCGGTCGCTGTGGCAAGAGCTGAGAAGAGCAGGAAGCGGCTGGTCTCGGCTGGCTGGCCCGTCATCCAGTAGACGATGCTGCAGTACACCACTGGACACACCACCTGGGGAGCAGGCACAGGGCTGGCTGGAGGACCAGACAGCAAGAAGGGCACAGTGGCCATGGCCCTCCACTCTCCAAGCAGGCAGGGACTCCAAGAATACCAGTTTCTGGAGTGAACCTGCCTCCAGGCTCTGGCTCAAGCTGTCACCTCAGACAAGCTCATGTCCCCTTAATGCCTGAACCTCCTTCACCTTCTATTCCTACCTCTTCCCTTAGGCAGAGTCTGACCAGACACACAGTTGGGCAGGATGTTCCCCAAATAAGAAGCAACCACAGATTGAGATCTACTTTGTGCTCTGCTCATGTTGCCACCCACTCTGGCACCATGCAATGTCCACCCTGAGGAGAGAGCTCCTTGGTCTCATTTTCACTAAGGTATCTGTGGATGAGTGGCACCCCTAGTGCTTAGATAAGTTAGTGGTGGTAATAACAACAAAAATAGCTAATTTCTGGCCTCCTCCATATCTCCTTTCCAAGGAGGAAGGGTCATCTTTTGGAATGTAACTTGCTAATAAATCTATCTTTATAGTTAAAAAAAATTAGCTAACATTCTGAGGTACAGCTATTGATCTCTACTGATCGGGAGTAAGAGAGAAAAACATGAACCCAAGAATCCAAGAAGGAACCAGACCACAGGGCTGTCACTCTGAACCACAGCCTGCCTCTATCTCAAGCGCAGAAGAATTAGAAGGTGCCCAGCTACCAGAACTTTCTGACCAGGATCTCAATAGATGGATCCTGATAGAAAGGGAGAAAAAATATGTCTACTTGTGCCAAAATGCCATACAACAACTCATTGCTGTTGAGTTGGAATCAACTCATAGATAACCCTCCAGCAGGTTTTCAGAGGCAGTAAATTGCATGGAAGGAGACTGCCCATCTGTCTCCCATCAAGCTGCTGGTGGATTCGAACCACATGCCTTTGAGTTAGCAGCACAATTCCTTACTCACTAGGTCCCCAGAGCTCCCTAAAAAGACAATATTTTAAAGTAAAAACAATTCTGAGTGGTACGAATTGTTAAACACACTTGACCTCTAACCATGGAGGCTCAAGTCCATCCAGAGACACTCTATAAGAACAAGGCCTGAGAATTTATTCCTGAAGAATCAGCCATGAAGACCCTGGGGAGCCACTTCCACTTCGACACATGAGCCACCATGAGTCACAATTAACTCAACAGCAACTGGTTTTGGCCAGTATGTGCTAAGCACTCTTCTAAGCACTTGACTTCTGTTAATTACTTCTCTCAGATAATGCTGCAGCAGAAACAATCATCCCATTTTATAGATGGCCACCCTGCAGCAAGGAGGGGTAACTTATCCAAACAAGTAGCAGGTAGAAACAAGGCTCTAGGGCCTATGTTATTACTATGTTCAATACACACTCATTTGTGTGATTATTATAGACAGCAATTTCTGTCATTCATTGTTTCTACTAGACATACATTCCACAGGTCAAGAGCATGTCAGTCTTGTTTGTTGCTTTATCCCCAGTGCTTGGCATTAGGGCCTGGGACACAGTAGGTAACACCCAACTGTTTATCAAGTGGATAGAGGGAAAGGAGAGGATGAAAGGTGATAGCATGAGGGAACAAGCAAAGGCAGAGACAGAAAGACAGGCTGGGAGCAGCAGGCAGACAGGAAGAAGAGCTCACCTGAAAGGGGACATCGGCCATGGTCTTGGCCAGGTAATATGCTTTGAGGCTGTACCAGTAATTGAGGTGTTCCCTCATAAAGACCGCCATCTCTAAGGGGACTGAAGAGACAGATAGATTTTAGTGTAAATGCCCCAACATCTTGGCCCCAACCATGTCCCATTCTCAGGGCAGCTCAGCTCACAGGTGAGCACAGTTGGCATGAGGGCGGCAAACATGAGGAACAACATGGAGAAGAAGAGGCAGCCAGTGTTGTTGAAGACCTTGCTGGCATCGTCACCGATGTGTAGGTAGAGGAGGCCAATGAGCACACCGATCACCACGTGGGACATGAACCGTAGGTGGGTCAAGACCTGGAGGAGGAGGGGGCCACCATCATGGGAGTATGAGACGAAGAGGTAAGACGAACCCAGGCCAAGGGTGGGCAGGCTGCGGGGCAGGACACACTGGAACAGGAACTCAGAGCTGCCCTCACAGACTCATACACTCCACTGGGGGGTTGCTGGAGCGGGGACCCCACTATCATCCCAGCTGCTAAGATCTTAGGCCCCCCAAAACCTCGATTCCTCTGCCCCAACTTGATGCCTCACCGTGTCCCTGAGGATGGACAAGAAGGTCCTCTTGAAGAGGATGCAGAACTGTGTGAGAGTGCTGGTGGCAAAGGTGTGGCTTTCAATGGAATCCACTTCCTGGGGGAGAGAAAATTGGGTCAGGTGAGCCTACCCACCCCCAGTGCCCACCCTGCTTAGGGAATGGGGAAACTCCTGGAACCTTCCCCTACGCAGGGGTCTTCTCGGTTGACTGAAGAATTCTCCACCACTGAGCTCTGTAGCAGGAAGCTGCATTTGGGGGTGTGAACTGGAGTGAGACTTAGAGAGCAATACTTAATGAGGAAAAAACTGAGAGGGAAAGGGAATCCTGGACAACCAAGGTGGAAGCAAGGCAGTTGTTTTTCTTCTATTCTTCAACTCATTGGAGGGAAAATATTATCCTTGATTCATAGTAGCAACACAAGTGTCTATCAACAAAGGAATGCATAGAAAAACTATGATACATTCACACAATGGAATATTACATCAGTGAAAAACAATAAACTTGTAAAATGTTACACAACATGGGGGAGCCGGGAGGACATTACCCTGAGTGAAATATTGCAGTCACAAAAAAGATGAATAGTGCATAACACTGCTGTTATAAGATTGACATGGAGAGGGTAGTTGGGGAGAGAATGGAAAGAGTGGATAGACCATGAAAACTTCACTAGATCAGATAAGGGGAAGAACTATCTGAGACGAATGTATGATTAGACATTATAAGTATGACAACAATCTGGAAGAAGGGGTGCATTGTGGGATGGGCTGTGGGGGGGAAGCAAATTTGCAACAATGAATTTAAAAAAATATGTATATAATAATAAAATTTATCCTAAAGTTGGAGAATTCCTTTATCACTACAATTTCACAGTTGGAGAATTCCTTTATGACTACAATTTCACAGTAACATTATTTAATAATGGTAGTAGTGGTAACAATTACCCCCTTGCAGTTCTGAAGGCTAAAGTATCTTATTTAAGGATGAGAACTAAAGCAAAACAAACACCAGCTGTAGCAGATAAGGTGCTAAGAGCTTGGTGTGATTATCTAATTAGTCCTCTCATTACCCTGTGAAGTAATATCCTCACCTCCAGTTGGAGTGGACAGTAAGACCTACTGGCCTCAAGAGATAAGGTCTGTCTTGCTTTCCAAGAAAGAGCCCTGGTAGTGCAGTAGCTAAGGAATTTGCTAATCAAGGGGTTCAAAGCCATCAGTTGCTCCACCGGACAAAGATGAGGCAATCTACTTCCGTAAGGATTCGCAGCCTTGGAAACTCTCTGGGCAGCTCTGCTCTATCCTGCAGGGTCATTGCTGTGAGTCAGAATTGACTTGATTGCAGCAGTTTGGGTTTTAGATTTTTGGGGGTGCCACTGAGAACGCACTGTGGATGTTCAGTAAGACTTTGCTGAATGAATAAATTGACAGAAAACTGAGGGTCAAAAAGGTTAAGTAACTTACCCAAGGTCACACTGCTGTTAACAGTAGGTCTATTCCCAGTCTAAGCCCTGGTGGCACAATGGTTAAGCTCGGCTACTAACCAAAAGGTTGACAGTTTGAACCCACCCCGCAGCTTCGAGGGAGAATGACATGGTGACCTGCTCACATAAACATTATGACCTAGAAAACCCTGTGGTGCAGGCAGTTCTATTCTGTCACATGGAGTTACTATGTGTCCAAAATCAAGCAGATGGCACTCAACAACAAGGCCTGTGTTCTTCCTAGTTCCCAGTGGTTGTGATTCCTCTTGGGGCACTCTTTGCCAGGACCACCTTCCATGGCCCCTTCTCCCCTCCTCTACTTTGCCCTTTCTGCCCTCTCCATCTCTACTTACCTGAGAGCAAGGGGGGCAGGTGGTGGGGACCTCATTCTTCTCTGGGCTGCTCTTCTTCTCAGCCATGGCACAGAGCCCATTCTGCACAGCCCTGAACAACATGGGGTTCAGGTCTCCATACTCGCCAGACGCCACCTCAATGACTGGGGGGCACGAAAGGGATTACTTATTTATTTAAGGTCCACCTGCCCAAGGGCAAGCCAACCCCTCTTCTTGAGATGTGTGGTGGTGGGGGGGAGTAAGCAAGAGATCTCTACCCCCTGGTTGGACCCACCACCACCCTATCCCTGTCCCTCCCCTAGGCCCTTACTTACTAAAGTCAGCTGGGTTGTGGTAGGTGGGGCAGTGCAAACCCTGCCCCTTCAGATAGGGGATCAGGTTGGTGACCATGCCTTTGAAGATGCACTGACCTTGGCTCAGAATGTAGAGCTGAGGTGAAAAGACAAGGCTGAGAAATCATGACCAGGGTGACAAGTGGGACCCCACCAACATCTTTTTGATCTTCTTCCCATTCCTCACCTTAGACCAATCATCTTTGATGTCTCACCTTGTCAAACATCTCAAAGAGCTTGGCACTGGGCTGGTGGATCGTACAGATGATGGTCCGGCCTCCCTGGGCCAGGGACTTCATGAGGGACACCACTTGGAAACAGGAGGCACTATCCAGACCACTGCCCAGAGAGAGGTCACCAGAGAACCAAGTGAGGTGGCAGGCCGAAAGAGGGAGGTGTTTGGGGTGGTGTAGCTGCTATGCAGGGAATGGAGCTGGCAGAAAAGGGTCAGTCTAGCCACCTACACATCATGTACACCCCTAGGGTTCAAGTATTTGAAAGCAAGGGAGATCAGAGCACCGCTCACTTTGGCAAGCATAGAATGAGCACCTGTAGACCAGGCACTGAGATGATGATGAAAAGCAAATAAGACACAGATTCTGATCTGGAGGAAGAAGTAGGCAAGGGCATAGATCATGTCAGATCCTGTGGAAAGTGCTGTAGAAACAGAGGGGGATGATAAGGAGCAGGAATTAGCTCACGGCACAAGGGTGTCAGAGGGTATCAGAGGTTTACTGAGTGAGCTGGAAGAAGTAAAAGTTAAGCCAGGTCACAAAGGTAATGGTTGAGCAACGTGTGGATCATAATACAAGTCACTGAACTGCACATGTAAAGACTGTTGAAATGCCAAATACACATACATAGCATATAAGTATTTATCACAATTTAAAAAGATACTGAAGGGAAAAAAATGGACGTAAGCCAGATAAAGGTACAAAGGGGAGTGTGGTGGTGAAGGGCATTCCTGGCAGAAGACACAGCATGTGCATTGCTTAGAGGCATGAAACACATGGTTTGACGATGAAATTATAAGCAATTCAGTATTATTAGAACACAACAGGATGGAGCAAGACCTGAGGCTGGAGAAGTAGGTTGAGACTAAGACCTTGTAGGTCATCTGACTTCTGATGGCAAACAATTGCGTATTTCAAAGCAGAGTGAGAATGGCTAGGTTGGTCTTTGAAAATGATCACTCTGGCTCAGGTTTAAGGGAAGGATCAGCTGAGAGACAGGAGGCAAGGAGAGGGGAAATCTGCTGAGGAAAAGCAAGCATGGGCTGATGATGTGCTGAGCTTGAGGACAGGGTAGGGTGAATCTGAGAGCAGCTATCTGAAGGAGGTGAATCAACAGGCCCCTGTGATTGACTCTGGAGCTCCAGAGGGGAGGAGGCGATGAAAGAACTGAGGACAACTGGATTTCTGCCTGGTGACGGATGGGGCTGTTCACAGGCACAGGGTATGCGAGTGGAGGCAGGATTGTTAAGGATGGAGGTGAGGAGCAAGGCCTTTTTCTTGGATGCTGGAGGCTGCAAGCAGGGACTTTTGTCTCCAGTTTGTAGGCCCAGTTCAAGGCTTGGGGAGGGAAGGTTCTGGTGGAAGACAAGGGGGGAATTACCTGGTGGGCTCATCAAAGAACATGACAGGTGGGTTGTTGACAAGCTCCAGAGCGATGGCCAAGCGCTTCCTCTGCCCGCCAGAGAGCAGGGCTGTCCTCGTGTGGGAGCAGGACATCAGGCCCAGTGCCGTCAGGATCTCTGTCACCTGGCCAGCCCCCCAACCCACGCCAGATCAGCTTTGCAGTATCTGCTACCTCCAGCATCACCCAGTTTTAAATAGCACCCCCTCCTAGGTCCACTCTCCCACCCTCCAGCTCTGGGCCCCAGAACTCAGTGGCACCAAATGGGGAAGCTCTCATTCCCTCTCCACTCACCAGCTCCTTCTTCACTTCTTGCTTCTCACTCAGCTTCAGGTTAGCAGAGACCTGGAGCCCAGAGAGTAGGTTACTTAAATGTGGCCTGAGGCAAGGTGGGGGGCACTGTTGTGACCCCCTCAGACAAAGATTGGAATGAGGGTAAAAGAACAGCTCAGCAGGGGTGGATGGGAAGAGAGAATGACCTCACCATCATGGCTTCCAGCACTGTGAGGTGTGGCAGTAGCATGTCATCCTGCATGATGTAACAAGACATCTTGCGGAAGGTCCTCAGCTCCCGTGGCTTCCCATTGACCAGGATCTGCCCCTTCATGCCAGACTCCCTGCAGGAGCATGAGAATGTACAATGATCACACCTACCTACCTGCCAAGGGATCTCCTTCCTGGGCCCCGCCTCCCATCCCGCCTCAGCCTTCTCCTCACCTATATCCTGCCAAGATGTTCATGAAGGTGGACTTGCCAGCACCTGAGGGGCCCATGATGCCAATCAGCTCCCGGCGGCAGAATTTACCTGATAAGCACTTGAGGAGAGTCTTATAACCTGCAGTGAGTGAGAGGGAAGCTTAGGATCAGAATTATAATGGGCAAAAGCACCTCAAAACACTTAGAAGCTACTATGATCATCAATAAAATAAGAGGTGCCTACTTGGTTTGGTTTGGTTGGAATGGAGAAGCCATTCTCCAAGTGACCCATATCCCCTCATTTTGTGTTGTTATGTGGCATCCAGTCAGAACTGACTCATAGCTGACCCTCCAGCAGGTTTTCAGAGGTTGTAAGTAGCACAGGAAGAGATTGCTCATCTTTCTTCCAAGGAGTGGCCAGTGGATTTGAATTGCCTGTCTTTTGGCTGGCAGCTCAACTCCTTACTAGTAGGCTACCAGAGCTCCCTCCCTAGTCCCCTAAAAAATACCACTATCAAAGCACCAGGGGTAACAATCCCGTCCTAAAGGCCATGGAAAAAGCCATACAGCTCTTAGGGGGACAGCAGATGGTTGCCAGAGAAACTCTGGTTCTCTTCCATAAACACAAGAGCCGCTGGCCCAGCCTGCAGCCCTGCAAGGAGGACTGGCTCCCTTCAGCTTCCATGGCACTCTCCATTCCCCCCCTCACATGTTTGTGCTCCTTATTCATGTGACTGAGGCTCAGCTCCCTTCCCCAGCCTTTACTCAGTGAGCTCCATGGAGGTAGGGTCCTGGTCTTACTCATCTTTGTAACTTAAGCTAGCTGTCTGGCGTGAAGTAGATGCTCAGTTAAGTGTTTGTCCCGTGCATACGTGTCTGCCTCACTCTGAAAAAAAATCTTTGCACTCTTTCTGTCTACCAGACTTGTCTCTCTAGCCCTCAACATGCCCTGGTAAAATCTCACCTTTCATTCATTCATTGGAAGACAGTATATGCATTAAGAGTACTGATTTGAAGTCGAGTGGATCTGGGTTCACATCCTGGCTGCACACTTACCCACTATGTGACCTCAGGCAAGTTGCTTAACCTCTCTGAGAGTCACGTCCCTCATCTGTAAAATGAGGATGATTGTACCTATTTCACAAGGTAATTGTAAAGGTTCAGTGAGATGTAAAGCAGACAGCACAGAGGTTGGCACACAGAGTGCTAAAAGTGGCATTTTCCTCCTGTGCCAGTTGGATCTGACTTGACAGTACACAACAAGGAAAAAAATAAATAAAAGTGGCATTTTATTACTAATCACACTTGGCAGATGTTTACTGATGTCTGCTGTATCCTCCCGTGCAACGTATAGCCTCTGAAAACCCGCTGAAGGGGTCAGCTATGAATCACTTCTGACTCAAAGGCACATAACAATAGCAACATATACCAAACTCTGTACCAAACAGTAGACAAAAAAAAAAGAAATCACAGTTCCTCTATACTGGAGGCAAGAAAAATAGACAAGAAGATACTTATGATCTTAAAAAGAAAACACCAGTTAGAATATGAGAATCCAGAATAAGAAATAAACAGTAGGGGTGAGGATGAAAGGGCAAATCAGGGACGATGTTATACAAGCAGATATTATAGAATAATCTAGGAACACAGGGCAGAGACCAACTGGAGTCACCAGGTTAAACTCAGATGAAGAGAAAGGATGAAGTCAATGAAGAGGACTTTGAATGCTGTACTCGCAGACCTGCCTTAGGTGAGGATCTTCTCCAAAACTTTGCTAACTACCATCCTCTCCTGGCCCTCACAGAGACCAATTCCTTCACACCATTTCCTTGGCAGTCAAGGAAAGGGGTGCCATCTTCTACCTCCCTTCAGAGCACCAAGGACTTGCCACTGGTTCCATCTGTCCCCTCCCCCCCACATATAGCTGTGTGCTATAGGAACCAATGTCCAATGTTATGTTCTGACCATGCTAAAGTGTCAGGGTGCTTTACAGTTTACAAAGCTCATTACTTAAGTTGCTCCTCTAGAGATGTAAGTTAGGTAACTAAAGTTCAGGCACATCCAGTGACTCACCCAAAATCACATAGCAAGTTCTTCATAAGGAGAGGGAAACTCAGATTCCAACCCTCTGCCTCAGACTAATGACTCCATCAATCAGAAAGGCATCTGGTTGCACACACCAGCATATGCCTTTCAAAGCCACTCACAGGAAGTGATTTCTTTTGCAGAGGAAGAAACTGGCAATGATAAACCTTCCCCTCATTTAATCACAGCTGAGCACTAGAGTGAGCCTGGATGCCTGATACAAATATCATCTTACACTTGCCTTCCACAAAGCTCTTTCACAGACACTGTCTCAGTTGAGCTTCCTAACAAGTGCAGTGGGCATTCTGATCATCCTTGTTTGCAGATGAGGAAAGTGAGAACAAGAGAGGGTAAGCAGACTGCCAAGGTCATGTCGCTTAAAAGAACACAGGTCTCCAGACTCCTGATGTCCCTTCAGAGCTCAGCCTGGAAGGGGCCTTGTCAAATCGATAGGCTGGAGAAACATCAAACAAATTGTTTGGACTTTTCACCCCAGAAACAGCAAGCTATCCCCTTTCTATAAAGCAGAAACTTAACCAAAGGTCTGTGGCCCATAGGAGGTCAGAGGGTTCAGAAACTCCTGGAAATGATATAAAATGTTGGGTAAAACTCCAGAAAAGTTAAAGAGTGATGGCTATAAGAAATAAAGTTGAAGGCCCTGTCTGGCACCACAAGGAGGAGAAGCAGCAAGATGCCATCATGTCATGCCTAAACTCTAATGGAAAGGTCACATCATTGAAGTGCTAGGCTCAGTCAATACCTGTAATATGGTCAGACCACTTAATCTTCAGGCCCTCAGTTTCCTCATCTGTAAAATAAGTGCAATGATATTTCCTCCCAACAACTTAAAAGGTTTGTTGTTGCTAAAAGGTTTAGTGTAAAAATTAAATCAAGTAATAATAATTCATAGGAGAGAATCTCTGAAAAATTATAAAATCATATCTACATAAAAGATTGACATTGAGTTGGAATTGACTTAGTGCCAACGTGTTTGGCTAACAGGACAACATATTATGGACTATGCCTCCAGAGCTCCTTGGCAATGGGTTTGGGATGGCAAATCCTAACTTAGGAAGAGCAGAAATAGCCTTCCCTTCATACCCCTTGTCCTGTTTGCTCTCTGCCTAGCTCCACATCTGTCCTCTAGAAAAGGAGAGAGGTATTTGAGGGAAAGATAAACCAGAGAGATAAGGGAAGAGACTCAAAAGGGGCAAGGGATGAAGAGATGAGAAAATGAACAGGAGAGCAGAATGGGGCGGTCAAGGTCAAAAGGAGGGATTGACCAGTGAGCTGCAGAAACCAGAGGGCTGACCCACCTCTCCATAATTCTTTATATCCTTATTTCTCCCTAAGAATGTGAGGAAGTAAAAAGGCTAAAAAACAACAACTGCCACATCATTCTGCCTAGAGCTAGTCTTTGGATCGGGCTTAGGCCAGACTACTGGGCAGGGAGCCCAGATGCCTCAGTTTCCACTGTCTTAGGTAGAGGTGTTGGGGACACAGACACACAGAAACACACACACAAAACCTCTTGGCTCTCTACTGGAGTAAGGGTGGGGAGTGCAAGAGACAGCTCATACTTAGCTCTAAAGCACCTCAAACCTATTTCTCAAGCTTCAAAGAACAATGCTCCAGCTCCACCCTTGGCCTACACCCAGGTTCTGAGAACCAACCCAGCTTCCCTATCCCCTGCTCAAGCTGCTCAAGGCAAGGATGCGGAGTTTGGGATAGCAGAGAACCAGGCCCTATACAGACTTGTCCTGACTAGGGGGAGAAAGAAATCCTGTTATACCAACATTCTTCCCTCCCCCCACTTCTCTGCTCCCAAACCAATTTTTTGGCATATAAAAAGTAATGTACCGGGATTCTTAAGGAAAAGAATAGAGCATGGAGAGCCAGGACCCACAGCTTCTGCTTTCAGCCCTGCCACTTATTAGCTGTATGTCATTAGTCAATTTATTCAACTTTTCCTGGGGCCTCAGTTTCCTTATTAGTAACATGAGGATGACTATTAGCCTGACAAATCACACTACTTACCTCAGAGGACTGTGGCAAGAAGGAAGGTGACAGGAATGAAAACACCTTAAAAAGATCAGCATGTCCTATAGGTACACAGTGAGGAATCCCCTCCCCTCAGTTAAGTTACAGCTCCCCTCCATTCTCTTCCTAGCCCTCAAAGGCAGGGAGTCTACTAAAAGTAACAAAGGAAAACCCACCAAGGACCACAGTGTCACAGTGTCTGCTTAGAAGAAGTGAGCCTAGTGCCCTGCAGTGTTACTTCTCAGTTTTGGGATGCACAGACCCTGCAACCGCACCTGGGTCCACAGTGAGGGTAGCCCCAAGGCACAGATTTCAGAGTTCCCACAGGGCACACTGATGTGGGACTTGCAAGAAAGAAGGCGCCCTGGCCTCACAAGTTCCAGAAGAGAACACCCAGCAGGGTTCCCAGCTCCCCACCAGGCCATTTCCTACCCCGTTTGCGCCAGCAAGGCCCCTCCCGCACGGAATAGGACAGCTCCACGAACTCGATGTCCACAGCCGATCGCTTGGGCAGGTGGGAGAAGCGCTGGGCTTCGGTGATGTGATTCTCCACTTTCTTCAGGTGCGTTGTCAGCACAGGGGGCTCTGCCCCGTCCTCCAGCGCCACAGCCATGGCCACAGCCCCCGGCCCAAGTCCACAGCCTACGGCCTCCAGCGCCTTCTCCGCCATCACGCCGCCGGCCTGCTCAGAGATGGCCTGCTCAGCTGGGGCAGACCCTAAGCCCCTGCTCAGAGCACCTTTGCTTTTCTAACGCTCGACTCACCCACCACCCGTTCCAACCTCCTCTTCAGGGCCGGTGCTCACTATCAGCCCCTATTCCCTGCGTCCTGGGCATCACCGACAGCAAGACCCATCCCCTCTGCAGCCTCGCTCTGTTTCCATCTCCACCGGGTCCCAGGCACCTTCGGGCAGCCCCAGCCCGGCCCTTTGAAGCCATCACCCGCTCCCTCCTCCCGGCTCTGGCTGTAATCTCCTTACCCCGCAGGCCAGCACACCCGGGGGGCTGGATGGTTAAGGGGGGCGGGTGGAATGGGACAGCTGGCCAAGGCTGCCCCCTAGGAGGTCAGGTTTGCATGGAGAGCGCAGGGTGGACAAGGGGAGGGTGGAGGAAGAGGAGACTCTGGTCCTTCCACCGCGTCCTCCTTCCCCATCCCTGGACGAGACGTCCTGGCTGGTCCCTCTCGCCGGCGCCCCTGGGCCCAAGCGCCCTAGACTCTCCCTAAAGACAGACGAATCTAAATCCTACTCTCAGCTAAGTCCCCCTATAGCGGACTGATCCTCCCCCCAATCTCCCGCATGCCTAGTCACCTTGACGCGCCCCACGGCCGAAGCAGAGCCGAGCTGCGGAGCGCAGAGCGCGGCCGCCGGCCAGGGATGGAGCGAGGCTCCAGCTCCTCTCACCTGCCCGGGGGCTGCGGCACCGCGATCCCGCGCCTCGTCCCGGAGGCCGGGGCCGGGGCGGGGCCGGGGCGGGGCGCCTGGAGGGGAGGACCCAGGCCACCGGTCGCGAGGGCAGACCTGGGTGATGCGGGCTGATTGGAGGGGCGCGCAGACCCGGCTTGGCCGCGCTCGGCCCCCAGCCGGTCCCCCCCAGCGCCGCGTCCACCGAGCGCTCGGGACGACTGCGCTCCCCTCCCAGGCGCCGCGCACCCGGCCCGCCGCTCTTAAAGGGACCGCGCCGCCGCCGGGGCCCGGGTAGCAAAGGCGGGAGCGGAGCCTGCCACGCGGAGAGTGAGAGGGTCGCAGTTGTGGATCCTGGAATGGGGTTTGGTGGCGAAAGGCTGACTCGGGAGGCTCAGAGAGCTAGAGTGACTTCTTGAGGATGGCTCCCTAGAGCACACACTAGACAACGGCGACGATGGTGGGCAAAGTCAAGCGTAGAGCCTGGCACTCTCAGGGGCGGGGGCCTGCAAAGCTGTCAGCCTGCGTGCCAGCCTCTGTCAATTTTCCCAAGTTCTCTCTGTGCTGGCTCTTTATGAGGGCCTCTCACAAGGTGTCTACCAACTACTGGATTTGGGGTGAGGGCAAAGCTTTGAAAGGAAGGTCTTGAGACATTCCCTGCTTTCCCTATCTACAGTTTCCCCCTCAATCCCAGTTTAAAGGCCAATAAACTGCTAACAAGGGGGAAAGCATGAGGAAGCGCTGTGGGCAGCTCCAAGGTTAAACTGGTATCTAAAGCTCAGCCTGATCTGACAGTAGAAATTTTTATATTCTCCCAGCCAAGTTTGGGCCTTCACCTTTCACACTTGCAGGAAATGTCCAGATAGGTAACCGTTTGAGCTCAGATGGTGAAGCTGTAGGGAGATGCACTGGTAACCCACCGTTTCAAGTCCACCAGCAATCTCCAGAGGGTGGAGGAGAGATGGAGAAAGATAGGCAATCTCTTCCTATGCAATTTACAGTTTTGGGAACCCAACTGAGGATCTGCTGTCAGTGGATTCTGACTCCACACCAATGACTTAGTGACTGAACTAACTATAAAGAGACTCAACAGTTCATTGCTGAAGAAATACAGGCAATCTCATCTGGTGTTATTTACTACTTCTGAAAACCCCAAGGAGATTGTGACTCAACAGCACATAACAGTGGTCAAGGGTGGTTACCATTCCAGAGGATGTATTCCCTAGATAGTAACTTTCTGTTTATGGTGAGGAAGGAAGCACAGAAAGTAGGTTAAGTTGGCACAACTTTAACTAATATACAATTGATGTCAATAAGATGTACATAGGAGAGGAAGGATGAATGGGCAACTTCTGAGTGTTATGAATTGTGTCTCCACAAAATACGTACTATAATTCCTAGTCACTATAACAATAACAACAATACCAAAAAGAACTGGCTGACACTGAAGAATTTCATGAAACAACATATGATCAAGAGGCAATGGTGATGAAGGAGGAAGTTCAATCTGCTCTGAAGGAATTAGCAAAAAAACAAGGCCCCAGGAATTGATGAAATACTAATTTACATATTTCAGCAAACAAATGCTGCTCTGGACATGCTCACCAGGTTGTGCCAAGAAATCTGGAGGACAACTACCAGGCCAACTGACTGGAAGAGATCTGTATTTATTCCCGTTCCATAAAAAGGTGTCCTGACAGATTGTGGAAATTATTGAACAATCTCACTAATACTACATGCAAGCAAGACCTTGCTGAAGATTATCCAAAAATGACTCGAACAATACATCAACAGAGAACTGTCAGATGTGCAGGCAGGGCGTAGAAGAGGCAGTAGCACTAGGGACATCATAGCCAATGTCAGATGGATGTTAGCCGAAAGCAGAGAATACCAGAGGAATGTCTGTATTTCATTGTTGAGGCAAAGGCATTTATTTGATGTGTGGACCACAACAAATTGTGGCTAACCTTGAGAAGAATGGGAATCCCAGAACACATTGTTGTGCTCATGTGAAACCTATGTTGTTGTCCTTTGCGACTCATAGCGACCCTATGTACAACAGCCCTAAACCCTGCTCTATCCTGTGCCTAAACCCTGCTCTATCCTGTGCCAATCGCATTGCCTCTGACACACCCATCCTGATTACCCCAGTCCTGAATCAATCCACCTCATAGAGGGTCTTCCCCTCCTGCACTGTCCCTCCACTCTACCCAGCATGATGTCCCTCTCCAAAGACCTGTCTCTCCTCGCAACATGTCCAAAGTATGTCAGACGAAGCCCCAGAATCCTTGCCACTAAGGAGTAGCCTGGTTTAACGCTCTCTAGGATGAATCTGTTTGTTTTCTTGGCAGTCCATGGTACTCTCAATACTCTTCTCCAGCACCACACTTCAAAGGCATCAAGTCTCCTTCTGTCCTCTCTAGTTATTGTCCAGCTCTCTGATGCATAACAAGTTATTGCAAAGACCATGGCCTGTATCAGGCGCACTTGCGTCTCCAAAGAGACACCGTTGCTCTTGAGTACTTTAGAGAGGTCCCTAACAGCAGACTTTCCCATCGCAATACGTTTTTTTATTTCCTGGCTGCTGGTGCCAAGAGTGTTGACTGTGGAGCCGAGCAAACTGAAGCTGTGAAAATCTCAATCTCTTCGCCATCCATCCTGATGCTACAAATTGGTCCGGTAGTGAGAATCTTTGTCTTCTTGACATTGAGCCTCAGTCCATACTGTGAAACCTATACTTGGGCCTAAAGCAATATTCAGAACAGAACAGTGAAACACTGCATGGTTCAAGATCAGGAAAGGGGGGCATCAAGGGTGCATCCTACCACCATACCTTTTCCATCTATGTACAGAACCGGGAGGCTGGACTTTAGGAGGAGGAATGTGCTATCAGAATTGGAAGAAGATGACATACCTTGCTTGCTGAAACTGAGAAGGACATGAGATCTATGCTGCAGAAGGTCAAGGACTGTAGTATTCCATATAGATTGAAGGTCAACAACAAGAAAACAAAGATTCTCACCACTGGGCTAATTTGGCAGCTTCATGATAGATGGAGAAGAAATTGAGATTGTTAACAACATCAGCTTGCTTGGTTCCACAATTAACACTCTTTGCACCAGCAGCCAGGAAATCGAAAATCAGCTTGCATTGGGCAAGTCTCCTGTCAGGAACCTCTCGAGAGTACTGAAGAGCAATGATGTCAGTCTGGAGACTAAGGTACATCTGATATAAGCCATGGTCTTTGCAATTACTTGCTGGACATCAGAAAGCTGGACAATAACTAAGGACAATAGAAAACAATGTCTTTGAGTTGTGGTGCTAGAGAAGAGTGGAGAAGAGAACATAACAGAGACCACCAAGAGAACAAACAAGTCAGTCCTGGAGAGGATGAAATGAAGCTGATCTCTGGAGGCAAGGATTTTGAAGCTCCATCTCACATACTTTGGGCATGTGGTCAGGAAGGACCAGTGTTTGGAGAAGAACATCATTCCTGGAAAGGCGGAAGGACAGCACAGGAGAGGAAGGCCCAGGATAAAATGGACTGACTCAGTGCCTGGAAAAGTGGGATTAGGTCAGTCAGAGACAATGAGGTTGTCTCAGGATAGGGCAGAGTTCAGAGCTGTAGTACACAGGGTCACTATGAGTCGCAGGTGACTCGACGGCATATAACAACAACATGCTTGTGGTGAAGGAGGTCTGGTAATGCAGTGGATAAAGCACTCAACTGCTAACCAAGGTCAAACTCACCGGCTGTTCTGTGGAAGAAAAACATGGCACTCTATAAAGATTTACAGCCTTGCAAATGCTTATGGGGCAGTTCTACTGACCTATAGGGTCCTTGAGAGTTGTAATCAATTTGGCAGTGGTAGGTTTTTTTTTGTTTTTATGCCTGTGGTTGTTATGATCCCATCTGAGAATGGATTGTCTTTCTTCTACTATGTTAATGCAGGATTAGTATAGGATATGTTCTGACTCAATCTATTTTGACATATAAGAGATTAAAGAATCAAGCAAGCAGAGATGGAGGAAGAGAGATGCCAAACCACATGAAGATTGCCCAGGAGCAGACACTCAAAGAGACAAGGATCTTCCTCCAAAGATGGCACACAGAGAGAAAGCTTTCCCTAGAACTGGCACCTGAATTTTCACTTTCAGCCTTTTAACTGTGGCAATATAAATGTCTCTTTGTTGAAATCATGCACTTGTGACAGTTCTGTTTTAGCACCACTAAATACCTAAAAGGGGGCCATAGTGGCCGGCCTGTGCTGCTA